TTCCAGTTTTGCAAAGGAAAAGGGTCAGCAGTGCTGGTACTGTGAGAGGGGGATGCACCTCCACAATAGACTGGCTTTAGATGCTGCTTCCATGGCACACCTTCCTGCTGTCCATTCTGTGCTTTCTTTTGGATCCTTCCTTGGTGGCTGTTTTGATGAATTGGTGCAACGACTTCATCACAAAAACTGACCAGGGTAGACTCCTGGCCTTAGTATATGCATTCAGTTGACCCATGCAAGTTGTTTGAGATGTCAGGCTCAATGACAGTTGACTGCAATTGAGGATGCAGATTTATCTCCCCAGAAAAAAAAACAACACCTTTTTTGTTTTACAAATTCTGATTACCACTGAATCCCTGTGATGATTGTACATACAGTTTTTGCTGATCAGGTCTATTAAGAGATACTGACTTTGGCCATGGCCCTGGGAAACAGACAGCTTGTTCTCTAATGGGTTCTGCCTCTGGTCTGTTTTGAAAGCTGAGATCTCCAAGTCCTTTTTCTAGGAAGCTTTCTTACACAGTCTGTATGACTGAGAAAACTTCCATCCACCTTGTCAGTTTGCTGGGGTTCTGCCCAGGAAACCCTCATGTTTGTAACAGGCATTTTGGAAGGGGTTTCCCTTTTTCCTGTGAAAGTGTTTTATTTATGTCTTCTTGAACTGTGCTTCAGCGACTTCCTTGCTGGATGACTTGTGTTTTCACTGGCTCAGACTGCCATGCAGATCGCACCACCTGTTCCAGAGTTTGCTGAAACATTTACTGCAAGTTTTCTGAAATTGCTTATTTCAAGCCCCTGCTATCAGATGATTCCTTTTATGTGCTTTTCCTCATCAATAGACCTGACATTCTGCTCTTCCTCGGGAAAGAGACCCCCTCTTAAAGGGATGAAGCTTTCAGTGAGCTTCTGCAGCCTCTGTTAAAAGAGTCCACTTTGTTAAAAGAATGCCCAGTTGCTTATCATCTCTCTTTAGGAAGGAAATGCTGATCACACTTTTTAAGAACAAAGGCAAGATTATTCCTCAGTCCTCCCTCATAAAGCAAACCACTTATGAATATTTAAATATATAAAACAAAACTTTCTCCCTCTCCTTTTTCCCCCACTTGCCCCCATGTAAATTGCTGTATGACCACCTGTCTTTTCCTACTTTTCTGTGTAAAGCCTAGTAAAATAATCCTCCAGCCTGGGCTTTTCATTGGGCTCATCAAACTTGTGAGATTTGGGATTTTCTTTCCTCTTATTTATGTCTGCCCGAAATGAGATCTTCCAAAAGTCTGTCATCCTACAGAAGCAGAAATCACAGGGAAAGGTAACATTGCCTGTCCAAAGAATTCAGCTCTCATTTCTTTCAACCTACTTTTTGAGGTTTGACAAGTCTGCAGCTGATAGCTTCCACTCCCTGAGAAGGTGCCCACTGCTCTCTAAGGCAATGCGAGAACCTTCAGAGTAGGGCAAACCAGATACATTTCTTCTGCTCTCTCCTCTCTTTTCTATTGTTTTTGCCTAGTTTTAAAGAAGCAGCATATTCCTGCCTATTCATGGAGGAGGTGCAGAAGGGAATAGTCAACCAAAGAAGCTGGAGAAGTAGCTGGGGATGGTTGAGAAAACATGGAGGCTTTGAAGAGAAAAGACCTTTATCTGGGTGCAAGAGGAGGAGAAACGAACAGAAGTGAAAAGATGGGAAGGAGCAGAAAGGAATACTGAAGGGAACTACAAAACGCTGATGGTGTCTGGGAACATCAGGAATTCTAAAAGATGTTGGAGCAAAGGCTCTCTGAACTCATGCCTGAGGTCTCCTGTATCCCATCTAATGAGTACACATTGCTTAGGTACTGGAGTCTGTCAATGAGTCAGTTACGTTTGGCTCTTGTCTTTAGGATGTACTTAGCTCATGGTCCAGCATTATCTCTCTGCAGTCCACTCTGGAAAGGCTCAGCCATTCCAGACCAAATAATCATGTCTATGAGACCGTGGGGAAAAAAAATGTGAGTTTTGTTAACAGTCTTGTTAACAGCATCCTCCTCTGACAGCACCAGTGCCTGTCCATAGTATCCCACTCTTCCAGATTTTAAGAAGTCTTTGGTTGACATTTTCTTCCTGTAGAGTTGAGTTGATCCATCCAGATGACCCTCCAACTAACTGTGAAAAAAGATAGAACAGATTGGACATTCACCAGTGGTGGACCACAACTCTGTCCTCAGTTTAGCAAGGGTTTAGAACTTAATCCCAGTTTCCTGGGAGATAGTTCTTAATCTCTCTTCACTTTAAAGTTTCTGGAGGGAAATTCCTGTTCTCTCCAGACCAGAAAAAGGAGAAGAAATACTTCAATTTTGGCAAGGATCAGGGTCAAAACCCTCATGTTCACGCTTTGTTTTCACTCTATTCGTTGTCTTTAAATAAGCATCATGCACTTACACCAGAGGAACAGGAAATCCCAGTTAGATGTCCAAAGCTCCTTTGCTGTTGGTTGTTGTTTCACCTCTCTCCAGTCGATATCTTTATCTTTGCCTCAGGAAGAAGAGCCATGAGGTTTTCCTGAACTCTGGCTATCCTGTAACTCTTTCTGCAGTGCTCTGCAGTCTCCTGCCCTCCAGCAATTATAGGTGCTGGATTTGGCCTCTGCCTCTGAAGCACCGTTGCCTCCTGCACGGTTTATATTTGAAGCCCCATGTATGGAAATCCAAAGGTGAAATCTGATATTGAAAAAGAAAGGTATAGCTTATTCTTCTATAAGGCTGCTAATAATGTTCAGCCTTGACAGGGTTAAAAGGCAACATCCATTTCCCCATTATCTTGTTTAAAAAGTGCCTTTTTTAAAGTCCATATGGCGACTTCCTTTCGACCTGCTTTCCCATCCTCGTCTCTTTGTCAGGGCTGTCACTTATAAAGAATCACTTGACTTACAATAACAAGTTCAAAAGAAGACAGAATATAATCAGTTGATCCACGAAGAATTGAAATAAAGAACACCCCCACTGCTCCAGTTATCATTCCCATAGAGATAGTGATATTATTGATGTGATTGCTATGCTAATTTCTATAGAAAAAAAACTTGTATTTTGGAATTTGTTCAAAGAGAATTTCAGACACATCAAATTGGAAAATGTAGAGTGAATTCCTAAACTTTTTCCTATAGGCATGGGAATCTTTTTTCTCTTTCAAAAAAAAGAAAAAAAAAAGAATAGCTCTGAACAACTATTTATAAACTTCACTTTGAAAAATCAATTGGAAAAATCTTGCTAATTTTTGAGTTATTGCAGAAAGTTAATTCACTGCAGTTCCAGGAACAAAAAAAAACACCCAGAAGTCCTGTGGGTCCTATGGTACCTTTTGGGTTATTACTATCACCCCCACAACCTGCAGAAGTGGGATTGGACCACAGAGTCCAGAAACAGAGACTAGGGATTATAAAAGATGGGCACATTTAAGTCCAGTGTTTAGGAAGAGCTAATTAATCTATCCCACTTCCCCTGCAATTCCATAGTCCCTCTGGGAATTGCACAAACATAAACTTTTTTTTTTTCTTCTTCTTCTTTTTCTTTTTTCTTTTTTTTTTTTTTTGCTCCATCGGACTTCTATTTTAACTGGAAGGTTTCAGCGTGTGATGTTATGCTTTTTATGTAGTAAACTGATTTAAAATGTATGCCAGTCATCTTCAGGGAACTCATTTCAGTCAAGATGAAACTAGTCTTACCTGAATCAATGTTTTAAGTGTCCCTGTGGCTCGGCATTTTGAATAATCAATCTGTCTCCATCGTTTCTTAATCATGCGCATCACAGTCTTTTTTATTTGTCAACCCTTTCGGATTCTGGCTTTTTGTTATTAACATGCCCCTAATGTCACATGCAAGCCTTTTCTTTAAAACAAGCTGCTCATTGGTGTATTTTGATACTTTTTATTATTACTAAATCTTTTTTTCCCATAATTACACCACAATCATTATATAATCCCATAACAAAGACTCTATTGAGGCACCATGCTTTTGTCAACTATGGGACACAGAATCCATAATTGCATTATTCAGCTTCTCCCCCCCTTCCCCCCCCCCCCCCCCCCCACCCGCCCGCTCCTGCTTTGTAGAAACACAACCTATTTCACCAGTCACATTTGCACCTTGTTTGCTCGGTTATATATTATTTACTAAATCGTTGCCCTGCGGATAAACCTTGTAAAGTTGCTTTAAAAAAGTTATTTGTTTGATAATTAAGTCCTGAAAACCCATCGTTTAATGATTATTCCGAACCCATAAGGCAGAGAACCTCCATGACGTTTTTCCCTAAGTTTAATTACCGTATGCTAATTTCCTTGCCTACTACGTGATTAATTAAAATCATATTTTCATAATCATTTGGCACTAGTATTGTTTTAGAATTATCATGATCCCCTAAATAGTGTATGTAAATAAAGTCGGCTCTAATGGAAAGAATCAAAATGCAACGCTGAGGACCTTTATGTGTTTGTGTGCATGCGATTGGCAACATAACTGGCTTATTTACATTAAATACGCCACAAGGTTACAGTGCAGATCAACGTCACTTTATCGCTGATTACTTCTCTTAAACGCCGGAGCGGTGACTGATGCTCCGGTCCCCCCGGCCGCCGCCGCTTCTCCGGGAGTTTTTTCCTGCCCCCCCCCACCCCCACCCCCCCGTTTTTTCGGAGGAGCAGACTTTGCATACTTTCGGGAGCAGGTAAGAAGGGCGCTTTGTGGAGCGCGGGGGGCTGCGCGGGGGTTGCGCGGGGGCTGCGCGGGCTCCTCAGGGGTGTTTACACGGGCTCAAGGTCACGACCAAGCTGCGCCGGGTTAAATGGTTTCTTAGTTGCGAGACGGGGAGGGGAAAAAAATGGACGATCACAGCCCATTCTTTGTAGATTATTATATCAAGGGTTGAGCTTTTGGCTCATCAAAGCTAAATGCCGCAAGACCTATCTAGTTGCTGTGAATTATGCCAAGACGACAATGGAGTGCTTTTTTAATGGTACAATGCATTTCACCTACCAGATAGGGGGAGTCCACGCTGAGAGACGGGGATGTCTTGTGATGTTGGGCGATCGGTATCAATGAAGGGGGTTATTCTGCAAAGAGGCAGATTAAAATAAAGCGCTCTGTGCTCGGGATGTGCGGGAAGCAGTTGGGAGGGCTGCCCGGGGCGGGCGGCCGCGGCAGCCCCGCGCCGCACTTTTCCCCCTCCGCACCAGAAAATGATCAAGTCAATCATGTGGACATGCTTCATTATTCATTGAACACAATCTTTTACAACGCTCCGTTTACGTGCAGGAGTTTCTTCTACGCTTTGCTTTAAATTTTAAGGTAAGAAAGACAAAGGTAAAAAGGGGGGTTTTGAGGAGCCGGGAGCCGTCAAAGAGGGTCCAAAGTCAGTCCGGAGTCTTTTAGGGGGGTTTATTTCTTTTTAATCATCGCAACGGGGCCTGCGTTTTCCACCGTGATTAAAAAAATACAGTATAATTAAATATCCATAGCAGTGACGTTTGCAAGCAGGGCTGTCAGGGGAGAAGCAGAAAATAATGAAAGGAGCGGAGAAGCCATTGAATGGCGCTGTAGAACTTAGCCTGGAGAAAAACCGGCGCTTTCCCTCCTTCTCGCTCGGTTCTTTTATAAACCGTTACTTTACAAAAAAAGGAGCGGGCGCGCGGGCGAGGAGAGGCGGCGGCGGCAGCGGCGGCAGCGGCGGGGCAGGTTCTGCCCGCCCGGGGGGCCCGGCCCGCACCCACCCTGCCCGCAACTTGCCCACAAACTTTTTGTTTTTAAGCGTTGCTGCGGAGCAAACTTTGCCGAAGTGACTTTAACCCACCCCATCCCCCCCCCCCCCCATCCCATCCCATCCCACCCCATCCCATCTCATCCCATCCCATCCCATCCCTCCTTCCTTAGGATCCAGGCTAATCGCGGTGTAATTTATAAACTCCCCCCCCCCTTTCTTTTTTTTAATTTTTTTTTTTTAAATCAAAGTTAGCTGATGCATACCATGTGTCAAACTTGTGAGATTCAAGTGCCTAAGAGACCTGCCATTTTGTGCTCTAATCGACCTCTTATGAATAGGAGCCGTACATAATGCTGCGAGGAGCGTTGTGACATTCAAGTAGGCACTAAATGTCAGGCCAGGTCTCAGCCCTTCGCGGGGGGAGCGGGAGGCACCTGCCAGCGCCGCCGGGGCTTTGTCAACGACCGCAGAAAGTAACAGGTTAGGGAGGAAACTTAAACGGCAATCCCGGGGGTGATGGTGGTGGGGGGGATCATCACCTCCCGGCGGCGCGGAGGGCCGCGGGGCTGCGCGGAGCGGCGGGGGGGGAGAACCGGGATTACGGGAGGGGGGTGTGAGGGTTGGAAGGAGAGATTCTTTGATGCTGTGTAGGAAAGAATCCAGATTTTAATGCGCCCATCTGTTGCAGTTTTGCAAATAATTACTATAAGGGAGGGGTTGGGGGGGGGGGAGAGAGAGAGAGAGCGCGGTGCCGCTTGTGAACTTTAACGCAAAATAAAAGGTCGCGAAGATTTATGCTTCCCCCCCCTCCCTTTTTTTTTTTTCTTTTTTTTTTTGTTGGTTTTTATTATTTTTCCCCCGGAGGCTCGCCCTGGCTCCATCCGAAAAGTTAGTTGCGGCCGTCCTCCACCTTGGCGGCGCGGCCAGGACCACGTTCCGCCTGCGCGGAACCCCCTGCGGGTCTCGGGTGAGGGTGCCCGGGGAGGGTCCGCAGCCTGCGCGGCCGCGGGCATTGTTCCTTGGGGCGTGCGGCGAATGGGGCCGTGCCCGGTACCGCGCCGAGGCGGCGGCGGTGCGCGAAGCGGTGCGGTACGGAGCGGGGCAGGGGCGGGTAGGGCTGCCTGCGGCGGGAGCGCTGCGCGGGGCTGTGCGGGGCTGTGCACCCCCTTGCCCCCCCCCCCCTCCCCGTGCAGTTTAAACTGAATCCAACAGGGGCCGTGTTTGCTGAGCTGATGTGGCCGGTGGATACAGATAGCAGCGGCGAGCCGCCCCGCTTCTGGGGAAAAAGACTATTTTAAGTGTCATAATTAAGTTTAGAAGCCTTGTTTGGGCTCATTCACTGCTCGAAATAAAAAAGACTGGCTGCTTTTAGACCCTTTATGAAGGGCTTGGCTAAGCGCCTCTGCACGTTCGCTTGGAGAAGAATGTTTTCTTTTCTAGTTTAATATTAGAAACTATATTTTTACTTGTTTAAACCGGATTTGATTATTCCTGTGGAGATTTTGTTCTTACTCCCCCCCCCCCCCCATCACTCCAATCTTTGTTCATTGTTCATTGACTGTGGAAGGCTGCTTAAATGTACGGAGAGAAGGGGGAGGCCCCCTTGCTGGTTTGATGTTGAAATAGTAAACCTGAATGGGGAGGGTGGCTGGAAAAGTGGACATTGCAGCTTTAATTAACTTCAAGATGGTTCAGCGAGGACCAGAGCGTAGTAGTGACGTTGCTTCATAAATCTGTCCAGTACAGTGCGTTGCATTGAACTATTACAGTATCACCGTCATATTGAATATTCACTACCTATCCGGCAGATTTGCATAATTGGATCTTTTTTAAATGAAACTTGTTTGCAAAAAAAACCAAACAAAGCCAAAAAACACCAAAAGCCCAAGTGAAAACTGCGGCGATCTGCATGATTGTAAAGGGTTCAAACATATCCGAAAAGTAAGTGACCTGCGTAAGAACATCAATAGGTTAAGTGCAAATAAGATGAGAAGTGCTTCTGAAAGCTGTACATTCCCTACGTGGTCTCTTGGGTTATTTCTCAATAGCGGGATTTTTTTGTAGCCTCAGGGATTTTAGGTTTTCTGTCTGCTTTCATAACTTTTTCCCTCACAGTTCTGATACAAGGTGAGGCTTTTGTAGTGTGCTTGGGTACCTGTAGTGATATTTTTTAACAGAAATAGACGAACAGTTTGTAATTCGTGCTGCTTGAGTTGTATAATTACAGCTGCTGTGGAAGGGAAATGTGTATTGCTGCTGTGTTTCTGATTCTCGAATAGATCATCACTAAATACTTCAGAATATTCAAAGGCTCTGTGTGTGTGTGTTTGTGTTTGCTTGAAAATCGACCTGGTTAACTGAGCTGTTACTTCTTAAATCCTAGAGGCAACTAGTTTTTTAATGCGTGTGTCCCCCCCGTTTGACGGGGGATGAAGATGACTGAAGTAATTAAAAATGCCAGGCATTTTTAGAGTGAATTTGTAGGTTGTATGTAAAAGCCACCCCCTCCTAACGGAGTGGCTGCCTTACGACCGGGCAGGTTTAGAAGTATTTTGTGAAATCAGATGGTGGCATTTGGGATGCTAAGAGGACGAAGTTGCGGAGCGCGGGGTGGGGGGGGGGGTGTGGGGGTGGGGGGGGGGGGGCTGTTGGCGTTGCCTCCTGGGGAACGGGAGCCGTGGTCTATGGGAATGGGAAGGGCAGCTACGGTCCATGGGAATGGGAAGGGGTGCCGCATCCATGGGAAGGAAGGAGAGCGGCGGCTGGTGGGGCCAGAGGCACAGGAGGTCCGTGTGCGGCCCAAGGCTCCCCCCGCGCTGAAGGCTGCCTTAGTTATGATGTCATGCTGATAGGGGAGAGCAAATGTCTCCTGATTCTACCATTAACCGCCTGGCTGATTTGCCTGATAATGATAGCATTGACGTCCTGCTCCTTGACAAATGCAAGCCCTGCGAACCCTATGAATTAACTTTTTTCCCATAGAGCAGAGCTAGCTGGCTTTACGACTCATGAATGTAGGAACACCTCGTTGACAGATTACTTTGAACCTTCTTGTTTCTGCAACAAAACCTCTTCCCTAAATACCCCTTCTGCCGGGCTGTGAGGAGAGCCCTGCACAGTTTGGGCCTGAGCTGCAGAGCTGCTGAGTACTCACCTCTTCCACTGACTTCCAATGGAGTTGTGGGTGCTCAGCAGCTTTGCAGATCAGTCCCCGTGTTCAGTCAGCAGCTGATACACTTTTATCTGTTGCTTGCTTGCTGCTTTTTTTTTTATTTTATTTTTGGACAGCAAAATAGGGATCTATGATTTCTGGTCATTATAAAAATATTTGTAAATAGCTTGAGTTGTTGTCCTACTCTGCTCTGTTTTCCCCTCTTTGATATCTTTGTTGTTTTGGGTTTTTTTTAATTTCATTTTTAATTCATCTTCTAGTGGATGTGCTGTTAATCTTCTGAAGAAAAGAATCACAAATGAGTTGTTTAAAGTTTTCAGAATGTTGTAGAAAGAAAAGGTCTCCAGTTTGGTAACAAGTGCCTGGAGAATCGATTGCTGTTTCAGAACGTGCACTAGAAGAGCCTTGGTACAGTTGCTAACCCTGCGACTGGGTGCACTTTCTCATATCTGCACTGGCTTCAGAGTTTGCTTGTGACTTTGAATTTCTATCACTGCAGGTAAATGAGCTTTAATATGATTTTTTTTTTTTTTTAAGTGCCAGTGGCTTAATCTTTGTTTTCATTTGCTGCTCAAACGATGACAATTAACAACTGCAACTGTAAAAAAAGGTTAGTCTCTCTATTACGTTTGCAGGCAATGTGTCTAAAATATTTGCATGCTAAAGCTGTGTTTTGCAGATGAGTTCCTGAAGATAACAAGTTGCTATGATGGAAATACTGTATTAAACCACTTTTAATAAATTGACTATGACTTTATCAATTGAAAAGAAAAAGGAATTGTTCTGTGGGTTTTTCAACTTTGGAACGTATTTCAGCTTTAATGCTCAGCAAGTTGTCTTGCACTAGCTTCACTGTATACTTTTGCATAATGAAGAGGCTGATTGTCACATTTCTGCCTATGCTGGGGCCAATAACCCAACCCAGTCATTATCAGAAGAGAGTAGCCCGTGAGTTGCAACTTCAGTACCACTGTTTTGCGTGCAGCAATGAAGACAGTGCTGAGATCAGAAACTGTGATCTCCAGCACAGAAAGCTGACACATGGGGTTGTTTATCCACCATAGGAGCCTTAGGTGACCAAAGAGATTTGCATTAGAACAGCCGGAGAAAATCCACTAGTCCATTAATGTGAGCTGCGCTTGTTCCCTGGGAAGCACAAGTTTCATCAAGTGTAGGAAAATCAGTAGAAGTAATTTTTCCAAATGTTGATTTTTTGCTTAAAGTCGACTTTGAATTGCACAGGTGTTTGTAGAGTGCTTTGACTTCAAGGAAAAAAAAAAGGCACTAAAAAAGTGCACGGATTTTTATGAACTTAGAAAAGAAAACCACAAATATATTTATTTTTCTGGCTTGAATAAGGACAATTAAAGCTTTATACTGTCTTCTGGTTTAGTGTATTTTAATAAAATTTGTAAA